TATAAACACACAGATGGGTGTGGGCTGTGTGCTATACTCATTCTCTAAGCAGTTCTGCACATGGTCTTGGAAATGTGGACTCCAGCGAGAGCTCAGCGGTCCTTTCCAGACCACCCCTAGGCTCCACCCAGCATGAACCCTGCTTCCCTACAGCCTGGCAGCTGCAGGAGGATGGGTGGGCAGGGGTGTACACAGGGCAGAGAGAGGCCCAAAGGGTCACCAAGTGGGTGCAAGACAGACTAGCTGAAACTGAATTCATAGCACGCCCTCCCACTGAAATTGCTGATTTCTCCACCATGCACAGACACTTTTCATATAAGACTCACCCATATAAAGAGCGTTTCTCTATCTTTTCGACGACTGGGGTTGAAGGTATCTCCTCCCTGCTACTAGAAAGACTTTATTTCTGCCACCTTTGGCTGAGAAACCAAGCTGGTTGTGGTCCCAGTCTGGCCCTGGCCAGTATGACCCTAAGACGGTCACTTGCATTTGTGGATGTCGATTCTTTCAGACCCAAGACGAGGAAATTGAATCCAGTCACCACCTCTCACGTTTTTCCACAGTAGGATCCCCTGTGGTAGCGAAGTTGAACGGGGAAGACCCCCGGGACCTGGGAATGTAGTCGAAAGAGGGTGAAAGTCTTGAACCTCATATTTGACCTTCAGATGATAATGAACCCTAACCCCAGTTTGTGAAACCTAGCACTAAATTTCTGTCCTTCATTCCTAAGTATTCTGTGAATTTCTCTTGAGAAAAGTGATACCTTCACTGTATTTCAATACGTGTGATTTCTCCCTAAGTTTCAGGACGGTTAGATTCCAAGTTGGTCTCTAAAGAGGTAACAAACCCAATTTGGGGGCTAATCATGGAGCTTCCTTTGGCTTCTTTCAGATGATCTTTGTTCTCTTTTCTTCTGTTTTAGTTTACACAGAGCTTTACCTTGTAAGCCACCTCAAGGCCTCTAGAAAACCGATGAAGAATAAATCTTAAACAGGCCGGGCACAGTGGTTCATGGCTGTAATCCTAGCACTTTGGGAGGCTGTGGTGGGCAGATCACCTCAGGTCAGGAGTTCGAGACCAGCCTGGTGGCCAACATGGTGAAATACAAAAATTAGCCAGGTGTGGTGGCGGGCACCTGTAATCCCAGCTACTCAGGAGGCTGAGGCAGGACACTTGAACCCAGGAGGCAGAGATTGCAGTGAGCTGAGATCGTGCCACTGCACTCCAGCCTGGGCTACAAGAGCAAAACTCTAGCTCAAACATAAATAAATAAATAAATCTTAAACAGACACAAATACAGATCCCTGATCTCTTAGCTGAAACCCCTGAGGCCAGATAGATTTAGGAAGTCAGTGTTTCTCAAGCTTGGGGGTACATCGTATATTAAGGAACTGCTCCAGTAGGGCCAGGCCAGCACTTAGTAATCAAAACATTAGTCTTCTTGTAGCAAAACATGAGAATATTCACACTGAATAGCCCTACATCAGTTCAGCTCGGGGTGAGCTGCCAAGTTAGCTCAAGTTAGCTCAGCCTTTGCCACCAAATGAGTTATAAAAAAAAACCTTTTGAGATTCAGAACATTGCGGGTTTTGGAATTTGGAATAGGGGGTTGTACACCTGTTCAGCGGATCCCAGGGAGAAGTCTGGAGCTGGGAGTAAGTTACAGGGTCTGCGGAGGTGGGTGAACCCTCCGGGGTTGGGAGCTCAGGTGCAGGCCCCCACCCAGCCTCTCTCACTGAGCCTTGCTTCTTTATTCATAAAGTGGGAATCGTAACATCTGCATCACAGGATCCTCAGCCAGTTGCAAACATCATGCCCGGGCATTAATCTGGTATGTCATCGGTGTTCTCGAAAAAGGAGCCACTGCCACATTTATCCTCGCCACCCGATGAAGGAGAAGCTGGCTGCCCCAGGGTCTTGGTGTGTGTGGGAAGACATGTCTTAGCTCTGCAATTCTCCTAAATGCAGGGGAGCCACAGATGGATTCAGCTGTTCTGTGTATTGTACCATAAGCCAAATAGTTTACACTTAATGTTCAGAAAAGTCCCAAATCTGTGACTCGCTGTTACTTTCATGTAAATATTCCAGTTAGAGCTAGATTTTCAGTGTGTGTCCCCACATCCCGGGAGTCCCCGGCTCCCCACTAAGCCTCCATGGGGCTTCTGCACAGCCTGGAGGCTGACCGCTCTCACAGGCCTCCAGGACACACACAAGTCCCCAGGTGCGGGACGGTGTCGGCTCGTGGATCATAGCTTCCTGCCTGGGTGCTGACGTGGGTAATTCACTCTGACTCTCAGGTGGCAGAGCAGCCGGCAGGAACATCGCTCACAGCACCCAGGGACGCTTTTGTTTTCCTGGGTCTCGGTGTGGACTCCCTGCAAAATTAGGGGAACTGGCAATTCTCCCATCCCCTGCCCACCCCCGCCTCCAGCTGCAAGGACGCAGCTCACACACCCTGGGGAAACGGGATTGGCAGTTTCCCTTCTAGAGTGTCTACTTCTGAAAGAGCTGCTGTAGCTGGCAACGCGACCCACATCTGGGACCACAGCCCTCTGTCTTAACACCCACAAGGCGCAGCTCCCAGCCTGGCCGCTGGGAGCCTCTAAACAAATGCACATTCCCCAGCCTCTGACAGATGCACGGAGTTAGGATACCTGGAACCACTGCCAGCAATCTGCTGCCTCCATGCATAGCTGATGCCCTCAGATGGCATTTCGAGGCAGCTCACTCTTTTACCCTCTCCCCAGTTCCCTTGATACCCTCTGGGGAGAGACAAAGGTCACATCTTCCTGACCCCTGTGAGAGACAGGGGCCCTGGGAAGCGTCTCAGCGTTAGTTCCACAGCAGAGCCTCAGTCTCAGTGCCTCCAGGTGGATCCCCTAGGAGCCCAGGAAGCTGTTAGGACACACAGGTGAGGGTCCCAGGATGGTTCCGTGCATCTGGGAGGATGTGACACTTATCAGCAAAACCGAGAGACCTCCACCTTCTTAGGGGGAAAAAAAATACATTTCACCCTCTGCTTTCTCCATTTTTTTTTTTTTTTTTTTTAGACGGAGTCTGGCTCTGTCGCCCAGGCTGGAGTGCAGTGGCGCGATCTCAGCTCACTGCAACCTCCGCGTCCCGGGTTCAAGGGATTCTCCTGCCTCAGCCTCCCGAGTAGCTGGGACTACAGGCGCCCGCCACCACACCCAGCTAATTTTCATATTTTTAGTGGAGACAGGGTTTCACCATGTTGGACAGGCTGGTCTCGAACTCCTGACCTCAGGTGATCCGCCTGCCTCAGCCTCCCAAAGTCCACTTTCTCCTTTAACAGTCTTTCCAATGACTTCACATCAAGCTGAAAGACCATAAAATAGAGGTTTGCTTTCAGAAAATGAACATAGAAAACATGCAGGGTCCATGTTCTTAATGGAAGCTGCTGATTTATGTTATAAAAAGGGAAAAAAAAAAAAAACACACCTCAAAGGGACTGATCTTCAAACATCAGTGGGAGGCCCCAGGCCACTTTTCCATGTGTTCGAGGGGCCAGGCCATTCAGTACCTGGCTGGGGAGACGTATTAGACACCCTGGCTTATTCAGGTGGCTTCATTACTTGGCACCTCCCCACCCTCAGAGGTCTCTGTGGATGTGGTGTCACACCATCACTTGCAAGGGGAGAATGCACCCCCATCCCCTCCCCTCATCACCTCCCCCCTCCCCTCTCCCTC